CTGACTATCCAATACCTAGTTCAGACCTAAAAATATAACATGCATTACTGAGCAGACTTAGCATATTGTTGGTATACATTTACACAATTTTTGATAAGTATAAATTTTAAGTAAAAAGGGCCATGAATTTGAGGGTATGAGAATTAAAATGGTAAGAGAGAAAAAAGGAATGTGAAAATGATGTGATTTTATTTTCATTTTGAAAATGGTAAAATAAATTTTGGTAATTATTTAATGGAGACTTTATGCTGGGTTCAATACTCAATATTATAATATTTATGCAATGACACATATTTCATATATGCCTATTTTAGTTGGGCACTTCTGTGCCTGCACCCCTTGATCTCTCTTCTTACAAGGAGTCACAATCACAGACATTACAGCATCATGTTGGACATGTAGTTTCCATGGTGACACAGAGCAATACCTTGAGCCTTTAAATCAGCAGACATCCCAGGGTATTTTGCTTTATCCTCTCCTACAACCCCATGTGACCCACACATTTCCCCAAGCCCCATATCTCATGTTAAACCAATCCCTACTGTGCTGCCCTCACCTGGAAAAAAAAAATACAGAAGAGAGGATGGTAGGCATGCTTGCCTCTCACTGGAGCAGCAGAACCCTGGTCGGCCTTTTGTTTCAGATTTATACAAGTACCTACTTCTTCCAGACTGGAGAAAGTCAGGAACTATCCTACACATACCTTCTTAAGTTTCATGTCTCAATGACCAAAGGAAAGTAGATTGAGATATATTCAACTATTTTCCCATACTTCAAATACATTTAACAATGATTTTGTGCTATCCACATACATATTTTTCAATTTTTTTGCAAATCAAGTGGTTAGTTGGTCCATGTCAGGAATAAAACTTTAGAGATGTGCATAATTCACTGTGAGAAAGAAATGAGAAGCTCTGGTTACATCAAAGAATGCCTGTATCGTTGCATGTTATGTGCCAGCTAGGATCTTGGGTACCCAAATCATAGGAGACTTCTTAACATATGGTTTTCAATATCCGACATTTCTAACTGTTCAGTCAATCATTATGTGTTCATTTCTAATATTCGATTGGATTTTTGAGACCAGGTGTCGCAACATAGGCAGTCTTAGCATTGAGCTTACATCACTCCTCCTTTCTCTGTCCCTCAAGTGATGAGACTCGGGCCACCTGCTGGCTCTGTTCCTAACATCTTCCATTAGAGCCACAGCTACAGATGGAAACACATTAGCACACAAGGCTTGCAATCTTCACACCTGATCTCAATGTGGAGGCTGGGAAAAGGTTCTGCAGTGACAAGGAGGTCAAGAACAAGTGGGATAAACATCAATACATCCGGAACCAAACTCCTCTGCCTATCTACCTAAAGGTTATGTATGCTGGACACTGAAGAAGAGGGGTCAGACAGCAAGGCTATTCACTCAGATTTCATATACAAGTTGATGAAAATTGATAGCTTATATGGTTATACCTTATATATGAAATAGCTCTTAAAAGCATTTTAACGATCTTCTATGGACCTATATTTTTAGCAACTGTACCTATTCAACAAGGAGTGTGGCCTCTATATTTGAGTTTGTAAATCAGCCACTACATATGGTTAGCTTCCGGAACAGTGTGGCAAAGGCTTTCTGCTCCCACTATGCCCAGAATAGTTCACCTGAACAATTACAGGGGTCAATAGCCATGCCCTAGTGCTCTTTCTTGCAAGGCCCTCGGGGTAGAGAGAAGGAATAATGAATCTTCTCAAAATAAAGCAACCGAGTCCCATGACTTTCCATTTTTTCATGTTTCATTCAGATTTCAGGGTACTTCACAGTCAAGGTATGTACTCCCCAAAATACTAAGAAAATCAAATGGTAATTAACATTCAATTTTTCTTAAAAATGATGAAACATTTGTCAAAGACCTCACTAAGGATCACAAGGCAACATTTCACATTTCTGAAGATTGAAGAAAATGGTTGAAAAGCATCACTGAGCCCCACCCATCATCTGGCTCCACAGCCAAATCTTCAGTCCAATGTTCAGAGCTGAACTGGAACTGCAGTGACAGTGACTTCCAGTGTCACAGGGCAGAATTCAGTGAGAGTGTCACATGCTTTCCCTTTAAAAATGAAAGATTTCATAAAAATTTTAGCATTAAACAATGAACTATTAAATAATACATTTTAATTAAGTATCTGAGAATTTCATATGTAAATGCATTGTATTTGTATCATATTCCCCTTCATTTTTTCTAAATCCTCCCTGATCTCACATTCACCAAAGTTGGTGTCTTTTGTTTTTTTTTTTTGGTAACCTACCAAGGTCAACTTACATGTCCGTATTCTCATGGGTGTGGGGCTATCCACTGAGTTTTGTTCAACCTACTCTTGCATCAGGACCCTAAGAAAACTGACTCTTCCTCCTCCAGAAACTATCAACAGTCAACAGCTTCTCAGTTGGGGGAGGGGCCAGTGAGCTCCTTTCCCTTCCATGCTAGAAGACTGACTGGCTTGACCTCAGAGTTCCTAAGTGTAACAGGACTGTCATGTCCAGAAGATGCCACGTTATGCCAATCCTCCTTGGACATCTGGCTCTTAAAATCTTTACACACCCTCTTCCAGAATGGTCTCTGAAACTCAGAGGAAGGTGTATATAAATATGACATATGTGACTGGGAACTCCGTTCTCTGCCTTTTTACTGTTTCCAGTGTTTTGTACAGCTCCCTGAACTAAGAAACTTCTCTGATGATGGATGAGAGTTCACTAACCTACGAATATAGAGATGTGAGTTCAGAGGGCAGTTTGATATGGCCATTTACCATACTAATTGTGGTAGGGTCACGCTGGGGGTCTGTGAGTTTGCCAGCCAATGTTGTTCTCCAGATTTACAGTATGAAGCATACTTTTCCTCCTGTGGGCTGCACCTTAATTCCAAACAGAAATTGGTTGGTCCCTGTGGTAGTTTCAGTGAGAATATTCCCAGGCTGATAAAACCTGAATAATTAGACCCCGGTTGGGACAACTGTTTGGGAAGTACTAGGAGGTGTGGCATTATAGGGAGGGAGAGGTGTGCCACTAGAGGTGGACTTTGAGGTGTGTCTCTGCCTCATGGTTGTCGTCTCAAGTTGTGAGCTTTCTACTGCTGCTCCAACACCATGCCTGCCAGTCTGTTGTCATCATAGGCCATGGACTCACCTTCTGAAACTCTATTCTCCTAATAACTCTTCCATAAGTTTCCTTGTTCATGGTGTCTCTTCACAGCAATAGCAAGGTAACTAAGACAGTCACTCCCATGACACTCATGCCACTATGGCCACAATAGGTCTATCTTGCCACACTGGCTGTCTTTTATAGCTCAAAGGTGCACATCCCAGGGAGACTGTTAGTGTGCCACTCCAGCAAACGATGTAGCATATTTCTGTACTATAGCAGCCAGTCAGCATGGAGGAACCATCTGTTCAGGACCCATTTGATTTTTCTCTGTCCTTTGACCACACTGTGTAGTATTTCCAGCAATAAGATCTTAACATTAACTTCTGGTGTACCATCAAGGTCAATGGCAATAGACTGTAGCAGTGAACCTTTCAAGTCAATAGCTACAGTACTAAAAATATAAGCAGATAATGTATCAAAACATTGGCTTAACTAGGAAAATGAAGGCACTTAAACTTAGAAAAGAATTGGAGACAAAGGTGGTAACTTTTTGTGGCCTCTACTCCACATCAAAATTTCAGAATAAAGTTATGAAATTATATATGATTATGTGTTTCAACACAGTATAATAGAGTAAGAAATTGACCAGAAAGAAAGGAGAAACAAGGAGAGACAGACAGAGGGAGAGAGATAGAGAAAAAGAAAGAAGAGAAAGGAAGAAGAAAGAAGGAAGGAAGGAAGGAAGGAAGGAAGGAAGGAAGGAAGGAAGGAAGAAAAGAAAGAAAAGAGAAAGAAAGAGAAAAAGAAAGAAGAAAGGAAAGAAAGAAGAAAAGAGAGAAAGGAAGAGAAGAAAGAAAGAAAGAAAAAGAAAGAAGAAAGAAAAAGAGAGAAAGAAAGAAAGAGAAAAAGAAAGAAGGAAAGAAAGAAGAAAGAAAAAGAGAGAGAGAGAAAGAAAAAAGAAAGAAAGAAGAAAGAAAAGAAGAAAGGAAAGAAAAAAGAGAAAGAAAGGAGAAAGGGGAAAGAAAGAAGAAAGAAAAGAGAGAGAGGAAAGAAAGAAGAGAAAAAGAAAAAGAAAGAAAGAAAGAAGAAAGAAAGAAATGTACTTTCACTTAGTGTCTCAGTTCTGCAGGTAGAATAATAAAGAGCAAGATACCGGTATTTGGAATTAGGTTTTTCAGATACCTTGCTATTGTCCTCTCTCATGGTAAATGGTAGAACAGAAGTGAGTGATACATACCATGTTGTTACATGGCAGAAGACGGAAAATTCACACTAACAGGTCCTTACCATAATGACGCCAGTCCTCCATGAGGATGAGAACAGGAACATCTCCTCAAATACTTACCTCTCAATGCTACTGTTCTGATGACCAAGCTACCAACATCTTCCTAACTGTGCATGTATGTGCTGTGGATATCGCTCTGTATAAATAAAATGCTGATTGGCCAGTAGCCAGGCAGGAAGTATAGGCGGGACAAGCAGAGAATTCTGGGAACAGGAAGGCTGGGTGAGAGACGCTGCCAGCCACCGCCATGAGTACCAACATGTAAGATATTGGTAAGCCACGAGCCATGTGTCAAGGTATAGATTTATAGAAATGGGTTAAGATATAAGAACAGTTAGCAAGAAGCCTGCCATGGCCATACAGTTTATAAGAAATATAAGTCTCTGTGTGTTTACTTGGTTGGGTCTGAGCAGCTCTGGGACTGGCAGGTAAGAGAGAATTGTCCTGATCATGGGCCAGGCAGGACCAGGAAAACTATAGCTACATATATGAAGGCCAGAGATCACACACTGAAATGTACACATGGATCTATAAGATATGTCAAAAGCATTTGCTTCCTGCCTCCTGTATTTACAGAATCACTTGTTCCTGAAAGGGACTGAAGCTCACTGAAGTCACCCACAAACATCAAGAACACAGAAGCTCGGTCCTCCTTTCTTAGACATTTACTAGGATGGTGCTTCCCATCAGTGCTCCTTCCCTGGAATTCACCCAGTGTCTCCAGTCTCCTCATTCTTGGGACAATCTGAACCCGTGTGGACTGCTATAACAAGATAGCCCAGGCCAGTGGCTTCTTAGGAACAGAAATTGTTTTCTCACAGATCTGAAGGCTTGAAGTTCAATTTCAACATCCTGGAAGATTCCTTGTCTGCTGAGGGCTACTTCCTGGCTCATGAACCTTCCCAAGGTGACCTTTCATCAGAGCACTTAACTGTTCATGAGGGTACCACCCTCAGGATGTCATTACCTCCCAAAGGCCCCATTTCATCATTTCTGGAGTTCTAAGATCACAGCATGTGAATTTGGGCCCCACCAGTTTTCAAACAGAGCAGAGGCCCACTGTCTTAGAAACCAGAAATACAACTTTGGTTCTTCTGCGTGGTTTTATTCTCTCCAGCAAACATCAAGTTATCAGAAACAGAACATTCTGCAACTTTCTAGATTGATGACAAAGATGAACCTCCTCAAACCACAGAGATGTGAAGGGAGCTGCAGCCAGCACCACTTACCAAACTGGAGGAGGAGGAGAAATTTTCCCAAATTTTCCTGGCTTTTGTCTCCTATCAACCCAGGAAAGCATGAAGGAGCCAGGGCTGGCTTTAGGATCCTCCCACAAAAGTGCTCCCGGGAAACACCTGTATGTGTAGACACAAGAAGTTGAACATCAAGCCACAGAGGTTTCATTCGACTAGACAAAACCCCCACGTACCAAGCAAAAAATGCTGGGCAAATAAACAGCTACCTGATATTAGTCAAATGTGAAGGATTTGTGCCTGATTAGTGAATGGGGCCCATATGAATGGCCAGAGCTCTCATATTCCAGAACTGAATACCTCCCAGGTGGTCAATACTGGGACCCAGGACCCACTAGGACTACAGACAAGATGACCATATAGTGTGGGGGAACTTCACAGTCCAGTGGAGAAGGTCAGTATTTTCACATTTATATGAAAAGAACCAACTGCTTACATTTAACAGAGTCTTAGCAGTGATCTTCTCACAAGTTGGGCAACCTTCAGAGCAGGTCCTGGATTCTGACCTGAAGTGATGAAGGGCAGCAGCTGGGGATGGGAAAGGAAGTGAGGTGTGGATGCAGGCTTCCTGGACACTGGGGCCTCAGCTGGACTAACTGTAGTCCATCCAGCTGTTTACCACAACATGACCTAGTGGCTTCCATCTGCCTCAGGACTATGATGCCCCAGTTCACAAGTAAAGTCTGGAGATGCAAAAACAGCCACAGGAGTGTTGGTTGCACTCAATGGTTGTAATGAATCTGAGTATGTTGCTATTTCAATTTTCCGTTTACTTAATTGATTGTTTAAAAATGTTTTTAATTCTTTGAGAATTTCACACGAAGTATTCTGATCATATTTACCCCGCACTCCTCTCCCTAACTCCTTCTAGATCTACCCTCCTGGGTATGGGACCATCCACTGGAGGATTGTAAACTTACCAGGAGGCACACCCTTTAAAAAAACGGAATCCTTCAGCAGAAATCATCAACTACCCACAGCTCCTCAGATAGCAATTATAGCACACAAGCCCCTCTCCCTCTATGCTGGAATGCTGAAGGCTTGATCTTGTACAGGTCTTGTACAGGCAGGCACAGCTGCTGTGATTTCTTGCATGCAACAGTCTGCTCATGTCCAGAAGAGCACTCTGATCCTCTCTGACCTCTGGCTCTTACAATCTCTCTGCTCTTCTTTCATGGTGGCCCCTGATCAGGGTGAAGGGGGTGGCATAGATGTCCCATTTGTGGCTGAACACTCCACAGGTACTTATTCTCTGCATTTTGACCAACTGTGAGTTTCTCTATTAACCACCTTCCACAGATGAGGTCTGAGAGCTGCACTAATCCATGGGTTTACACCTAGGAACTTGTAGACAGTTTGCTACTCCTCCCATTTTGCATAATTGTAGTAGGTTCACACATGGCTTATAGCCCCATAAGCTTATGACCACACTTACGGTACTTTTTTTTTAGTTAAATTAATTTTCACTGATACATAGTAACAAAAATCATACACATGAACATCCTGATATTATGGAAAAGTAAAAGGAGGCTACTCATAACACAGTGACTTGGCCACCATGAGATCCAGCAATCACACTCCTAGGTACAGATCCAAAGGACACAGAGCCAGTGTGTCAGAGGTGTGCTCACATGCTCTCATCAATGCCATCCACATTAGCCAAGAAATATGACTACCAAGTGCCTGTCACCTAATGAATAGGAAAGACATGGAACAGACACAGTGGGAAACTTCTCAGTCTTCTCAACCTCCAGTTCCAAAATTAGACACAGGGCTGGGTTTCAGCAACTATGGAACATGATCTACATATTAATAATGGTAACTTGTGGCTCACCCAGTACTTCCCAGTGATGTCTCTTTTATTCCTGTTCATGTGTCAGTTCTAATACCAGTGTGGTTGCACATTTGCATCTACGCCATCGCCCTTGAATTTATAATAGAGCAGGAAACATAAAAACTTTGATATTCCTGAAGGTTCTATCATTTCCTTATGATCTGGTTTCTAGAAACCCCCCCTTCCTTATAAATTACTAAAAGAATACCTCTTTTACAGATCTTTGACTTCCTGAATGTCACAGAAAACAAATTATACATTTTATTTGAAACATTTTAAACTTCCCCTGTACTGAAGATTTCCACAATTACCCATCTTCAAAATGGAATTTTTAATGGCTTAGAATAGAAAATGTCTCCTGACACTATCTTCATGGGCTTTGAAACAAGTACTGTGTTGTGTCTTTACGGGAAATGGGAGGCTGTAAGTTGCAGGGTGAGAGAATAAGGACATGGTAAGAGGGGAAAGAAAAGTGAGCTATGAACAGAAAATGCAGCAAAGAGTTGCCAAAAAGTAGTATTCAGTAGAAGAGATGAAGACTCCCCACAGGCCCAAGATGGCACCTCTGCTAACAGCATCATCACACCTGGCCAGACTCAGAGCCTGGCCCACAGATAATTAGGATGAGGGCTCTAAAATAAGACACTAAAGGAAGAGATGCCCAAGTGAATGAGGCTTCGAATAAATCAGCTTGAATTTGAAGATACCCTAACCCTCAGCAATCTGGAGTATATGGAATCATGGCTTAATGCAGACTGAAAACTTAATTCTATTCTTTAAAAATATTGACAGAAAATTAGACTATGTGTTTGGAAATCTTCCTAAGAATTGTTGCCTGTGGAAGAGCTGCCTCTTGATTCTTAGGATTAGTGATCAGCAACTATGAAGTCATGTTATAGAGGGGTGTTTCATTTTACATGTATGTATACATCAAACCAGCTATTCGTTCAGATTCTACTTATAGACCAAAATATTTGATAAAATTTGTTACGTCTCTGTGATGGTGCTTTAGTTATTTTAATCTAGTTATGTACATGTGTGTGAGTGTGTGCATGTGAGTACAGGTGCACAGAGGCCAGTAGTGTCAGATACACTTGGATCTAGAGTTACAGGAAGTTGTGAATGCATAACATGAGGGGTTAAAAATCAAACTCGTATTCTCCGGGAGAGCAGTATCTGCTCCTAACTCCCAAGCCATCTCTCCAACCTATTGTTTTGTTTTGTTTTGTTTGTTTGCTTATTTGTTTGAAAGTCTGACGACCATGGAGTGTAACTGAATCTGGGGACAACGTTTGGCTGTGTTTTAAGTGACATACAAATATCTTGTTAATATCACAAGTGAAACTACATAGATAAAAAAAACCCCAAACAACCCAATGTGTGTGATTTCCAGTTCCTCTGATGTGAACTGCCTCCTTTCTTCAGAGGTCTTTCTCTGGCACATAAACAGCCCTTCTCTTCTTTACTTGAAATTAGTCTGCTGCTTGGAGTAACCTTTTCTTATATTTTGCCCCTTGAAAGTTCCATGAGATGGAGTGTTATCTGCAAAATACTTTTAAAGATGTTTCTAGGTTAATGTTGTGAGACAGCATTGAGGAGGCAGTTGTATCACATGAGGGACGAGAAAAATGCATAGTAATCATTTAGTTGATGCATAAACTTTTTTATTCACTGAATTGATTTTAAATAGGTAGGACAAGTTCTGCTTATAGATCTTATAGACTTGCTAATCTTTCTTGTTTCTATTTTCCTAAAGAAGCCTAGATAAAAACCCACTGCCACTGGCTACTTTGTGTGACGCCCATCACCAGCAAACCAAACTCTCTGTGTGCTGAGAAACCAAACAGAAGACTCTGGAAATGTTTAGGTTCTTTTCATCGGAATCTTCTATGTCAGATGTTTCCTCAAGCTTTTCATGCATGAAGAGGTGGGAATTTCATTGTATGGCTTTGTATTTCTCTCCATATTGGAAAAATTCTGCACACAAAGGATATTTCATGGGGCAGGAAATATGGCTCCATGGTTAAAAGCACTTACTGCTTTTGCAGAGGACCCAAGTTCAGTTCCCAGCACCCACATCAAGTGACTCACAGTCACCTGTCACTCTAGCTCCAGAGGATCCAGTGCCTTCTTCAGGGCCATGTGAGCACCTGCACACATGAGGCATCCATCCATACACACACACACACACACACACACACACACACACACACACACACACACACAAATATAATAAGAAAAAAAAAGTAAAGAAGGGTCCATAAAGTGGGTACTCTGGGGCTTTTGTTTTCCATCCGTGCTTCTGTGCTCCGTGTCTAGACCCTTGACTAGAGAGCTAGGTGGCAAAGGGTAGGTATCTCCTCTATGGGAAGGAAGGGCAGCAGCTCGGAGGTCATCTCATTGACAAAGCAGCACAACCCACTGCTATGCAGATGCCCTGTCACACTGCATTTGTGACAATAGTCCTGTGTCCATAGATAGCTGAAATCCCAAGCTCTGAAAATGGAAGGCCTGGACCGGCTAGCCACAAGACTTGGTTGGCTGTGAATTGGAAAACTAATGTCAAGGTAGTTGGGATGAGGGATGAAAAACAAAATGTATTGGTGAGTGTCTATGTTTGATGTACACAGCAAGCTTCCTTTACAGTTCCATGCTTTTTTGGTCTAAAGTATTACTACTTCTACTTTGGGCTTTGGGTAAAGGGAAGGAATAAAAGAAAATAGAGGAGACAAATAAATAGCCTTTTGAAGGACAAAGTCCTTCATAAGCTGCAAATATAAGGAAAATCCCAAGAGTCTGGGAACTATTTTGTTTTGTGCTCTGGAGTTAAACAGACAAAAGTTCTGCAGATGATGAGAACTAGACTTCTCAGTGTTGGGGAAAGAATTTACTAACAAGGAAAGGGAGAGGACTGAAAATATCCTGTGGTGCTGAACGCAGAGAGTAAAGTAAACACCCACATGCCAGTGCTGACAGACACAGATGCCTGAACAGGAAACTCAAGAGGAGAAGTGTGGGCTCTTTCCTGTAGAGGAATTACAGTGAAAGAATATGAAAGATGAAAAGTGCATTCACCATTAAAACAGCACAGCAAATCGGGTGTGGGGAGCAAGGTCCTGATCAATGGTAAAATTAGACGAAGAGGGCAGAAGCAGAGAAAGGGTATCTCCACAGTCATTCCCAATGCATCTTCTCCCAAGTAGGATAAAGGGGCAGTTAACAGTGGAGAAACAGAGCAGACATCACTTTGGCTTAGAAACTGGTTTCCTAACAATACCAAATAGACTTAGACTATCTTTGCATCTTTTCATGTATGTGGCTCTGTTGTCTATCCTTCATCCTTGGCTCTAGCTCCATAAAGGAGGAATCAGATGTCATGTCATAGCCTTTCCTTTTCAATTAGCTCCAAAAGAGCAGAAATCAGAACATGATCTGGTTTCAGGGGATTTTTATGATTCTTAATTATAACATGGGCTGAACCAATCTCAAAGCTTATCCGTGCTGCTCACTGATGACAGATGGTGAGGGACCTCTCTGGATGTTGAAATGATGGAAGAAAAACAAGGTGTTCTCCCCCAAGCTCAAGATGTCAGAGAGGAGGTAGCCATGCCCTGCTGTTGGCCGGTCTCCTATGTGACGCTGGGTCAAGTACCAGCATTGCTTCCTTATTCTGAGAACACATGTTCTAGAACCCTCTAGAGAGACAAACAGGTTAGTGGCAACTTCAATTCTCCATAAAAATCACAGAGGGCACTGAGGAGAGACAGAAGAACACACCTTTGTATCTCTTATGAGCTCATTATCCTTGGTAATGGGCAGTGACAGACAGGGAAGGCTTGGATCTGTTCCAGTCAGGAAGGCAGCATCAGGGGTGTCTGCACAGGGCATGAAAGGTCCAGAAGGAATGTGTGGGAGGGGCTTGAGACCAGACCCACAACAGTAAACAGACAAGGGCCATCATGAGCTGGCTACCTTCTTGTACTCAGTGACTCTCCCTTAGATTTGGACCAGCCCTTGCTACTCTTTGTACACAAAGGGGACAGGAGAAATCATCAAAAGTGATGCATGTTGCTTCAAAGGCCACATTAGGCAAGTGAGGTTCCAGGATACAGGCAATGGGAAACTACAGGTGGGTTGTGTGGGGCAGTGATGTGAACACAGAAGTGACCACAGGTACCCATGCACATGTGGTACACAGACTCTGACACATGCATGAAAAGAAATCTTTAAAAATAATAATAAAAGAATGGCAGGGATAGCATCCAGCCCCAGGGAGGATCCCTGTGCAGAATGAGGCAGGGAATGCTCGGGTGAGACCAGGATCTAACATTTGATCCTGTTCCTTGTTTGATCTCCCTAAGAGTTCAGGTGTGCCCACAATTCTAGACAAAGCCTCTGAGCAAGCATGTTGGATTGGCATGTATTTACTTTGTTATGCCCCAGAAGTGTCTGTCAACTAATAAAAATATAACACAATCACAGAAGAAAAACAAGACAAAAATTAGACAGCGTTTTAACGGGGAGATAACCATACAGAAACTTGACTAGCAAGGGGGGATGGAAAATGGTCACTCTATTAGTTGAGTGCACCATGTCCCCGCATGTGTATGAACACCTGACCCCCAGCCACCCATGCTGTTTTGGGAGGAGTAGGGTCTGGCTGGTGGAGGTGGGTTGCTCTAGGTGATGGGGTGTGGAGGTCTCCTTCCCAGCTTCGCAGCCGTCCCTAACCCTGGTGTGAAGAGCTCTGCCACTCACGCCCACCACCATGCCTTCCCTGCTGGACTGAGACTGAGAAATCTTTCCTCCCTGAAGTTGAGTCTGTCAGATATTTTATCACAGAGACCGTAATGACACAGAGGACTCCTCCCCCAACAGAGGGAAGTCCACAGTGGGAAGCCAAACAGAGGCAAAGGCAAGTTCTTCACGGAACCCAGAAATGCCCCAAGTTGGAGGCAGTGTTCTAAGCCTTAAGAATAAGTCCTTATAGATGTCCACTTAAAACAGAGGGATGTCCTAGAGTGGCTTTCTTAACTCCATCAAAGACACAAGGGGAGTTCTTTGAAGCAATTCAATCAGGACCTCCAAGAAAATCAGGCATGATTCATAGGCACAGGCACCCTCTGAAGATCGAGTACAGAGAGACAGGGTACTTTTTTTTTAGATGGAAGCATTCATTATTCAACAGACAGTAATCTGAGAAAAGATGTAAGGATTTGACTTTGAGGAAGGGGCTGTCCTGGGGTAGATCATTAGAGAACCTGTTATGATTTTTTATTTTTACAATTGAAAGTGAGGACTAAAGAGAAGGCTCAGCAGTCAAGAGCACTTGCTGCTCTTCCAGAGGACCTGAATTCCTCTCCTGGGATCTATATCAGGAGGCACATATCTGCCTGTGTCGCCAGCCCCAAAGAATTCAATGCCTCTAACCTCCAGAGACACCTGCATCCACATGAGCATGCCCATACACAGAACACACAATTTAAAAACAATAAAAGATAAATAATAAAAATCTGATATGTTAAAAAAGAAACAGCTATCATGGTCAGCCTATAACCAATAAATATTGACCTCCCTTGGCAGATGTGGTTCAAGTTCCTATGATATGGATATCCTGAACTGTCCAGGAGAGCCTTAACTGGCCATTCAGCCCCTCAGAAATGAAGAGTCTACCCTTGCTGCAATAAGAGGTTTTTTGCCCCAAAGGTTGGTGGAGGCCACACTGCTCACTTGGGGGACAGAGGAAGAGGTAAGCTGAGGGATGTGGGCAACCTCAAGAAATTGGAGGTTTCAGAAAAAGGATCCTCTCCTAGAGACTCCAGAGGAACCAGCCCTGCCACACCTGGACTCTGGGCCTGCTGCGTACTGTGGGACCTCTGAGCTCCAGAACTACACGGTAATTATGTGCAGTTTCAAACTACTCGGTCTGAGATAACTGCTAACAGTAGTCACAGGGGACAGTGTCTCCTAATATGACTAAGATAGGACCGAACGTGTGCATAGAAGTCCCTGGCTGGAGGCTGGAAGCACCAAGCTCCAGGTGAAGGTAGTTACTGCCTTGTTCTTCGCCAGGGAGGTCATTTCTCCCTGATGCCCAGCTCTCTGTCACTGAGAGAGAAGTGTCTACACAAAATGGCTTTTCTGTGGTGCACAGTTGTTCTCCATACTACCCAGGAGGAATAAAATGCTCCCTGTGGTTCATGAAAGGAATAGTGCTGTAGACTGTTGAGGGAAAGAGATGTCATGATACTTGTTTCCTTAGGAGTTAAGGACTCAGATCCCTGTTCATGTTCCTTCTTTTTCAATTCCAACAGTTGTAATCTCTGTAGAGAGTCTAAGCCCTGAGCAGTTGTGATCTCTGTAGAGATGTTATGCCCTGCCCTGGAAGGAATCTCTCCTACTGGCCTTGATTTTTCCATGTTGCAAATCTGGCCTTTCCCTGTATTCACTTCTAGAAACTCACAATTATTCCTTGGCAAACAAGATTACCATCATAGGAGGTAGTCATTCAACATTCACATTAATTATCTACTACTACATAACAAATTATCCCTTCACTTAGACCTAAAGCCAAAAGCAGCTATTATCTTGCAATTTCCTTGTTCCAGAATTACATGGGGGGATTCGGCAGGAGAGGATGTCCATGGGGTGCCTGATGGACACTTTCCTAGATGACATACTCAGAAGCCTGGTGAGAGAATGCCGGCTGTTGCAGAGGCCGTGGTTAGTCACCATGCAGGACTCTTCTTGGGACTTCAGAACTGTCCTTGACATGCTGTGACTGGTTCTAGAGCAGAAACAAGAGAGAGCCGAGAAGAAACCACAGACCCTTTATGATCTAACCTTGGAAACCACAGACTTCTGCTGCTGCCGGCTCTCCTGGCCCTTTCATTGTGCAGAGCACCATCCAAGGGAACAGATGCCAAGGACTCGGGAATCACTAGAAGTCACTCTGAAGCTTCACTATTTTTCTAGTGATTTGGAGGAAAAATAATCATGAATAAATCCATGATGATTTCATAATTTTGTTTGTTTCAACTCTCTGTGTTTTGTTTACTTGTCCCA